GCGTAACTGGAGGAGCATGGGTGCCAGGAGCTGACCTTTTTGAATAGGGCGTCTTGAACACGTTATGCTGGTTACACACAGTGATTTAATGGTTCAATGACACTATGAATTTGACACGTAAAAGGATTCTTTCAATCAAAACAAAGTGGGGGTTAGATAAATGATTTTGTTCATCAGTGTAACTTTGTCATGCCTTTTTTATAACATTAATAAAACCAAATTTAAAAAAGATTGCTCATCAAAAAAATAAGAATTTTAAATTTAAATCCTCAAACTGTTTTACCTTTTGCTGGACAATTTGTTTTTACAATATAATTTAAGATGATAGTCAAAGATCAGTTTTTTTTATCATTGACTGTGCAGCATTTTCAAGGTTGTGTTGATAATCTCAATGTGTCCTTTTTTTTAAAAAAAAAAAAAATTATTTTTTAAAATTTATTTTGGTCCTCATTATCCAGGGCCATGTCAGTTTTCAAAGCATGACACTTTTTTCACACAGCATGGAAGTCCGTTTCCTGCTGTGTTCCAGACTGGCTCTGCACAGAAGCAGCTGTTTTAGGCTCCATGCCTACTTTAGCTGTCTTTTTCTTTCTGCTCCTAGAAGCTAAATGGTGTTCTATGTGTTCATGCATACTACTAGGCTATTGGTGTTTTTTTGAGCTTCCGTGTAAAGGAGCAGAAAAAAAAATGTTTTTGTATAGTTTTACAGAGCGTTTTTTCCAGCAACTCTTCCAACAGCTTGTCTTTCTAGCTTTTTTTTTTTTTAATCTCCCTTCTTTCTTGATGTACTGTAACAACGTTCCTAAATGCTATTACCAGCCCTTTTTTTTTTTTTTTTTTTTTTTTTTTTTAAATCCAGCGTTTTTTCCACGATTTTCTTTGAGCTTAAAAACTAAATGCTAGTGTGCATGGAGCCTTACGTATGTGGGTTCTTCTTCGAGCTGCTGTGGGACCTGGCAGTTAATCTGATCACTGCAGGGATGTTTAATTCACCTGACGCCCGGGATATGTAGTTCTAAGCACCCGGCAAGAGGTTTTGTTTGTGTTTTTTTTTTTGTTTTTTTTTTTTTTCTTTCCCCCCACATTTAGCCCTGCAGCGGGCAAGCAGCAGGGTCTAGAGCTGGTGGACGGACCCCTCTCCCACCGCTGTCTGGGGGCTGTCCTGTCTAGGAACTATGGCTCTGGGTTCCATCTGCTCCACCGAGGGCCAGTGGAATAACAGACATAATATTTATCAGACACAGTGGTCTAATCCTTATGCAACAGTCCTGATCTTCACTTCCATACCAATCCTTTGGGGCATGTAATGGCCAGGAATCGCAGCACAAGGATTACTCCACCAGGAATATTTGGCGATTTTTGGGCGCAGGCGTAGTAATCCTTGTGCTGCTGTTCCCGGCAATTACATGCCCTGGCGCAATGGTACAGCAGTGAACTGAAGGTCGTGACTAGTTTAATTGTCGGAATTGCTGCATAAGGATTAGTGGAGGTCAGGAACCACTGTGTACACATGAGACCATGATGAACATGGAATGCTGCAGAGTACTACAAGAGCTAAGCACTTAAGCCCAGGGGTTAAATTGTCCTGTTGCTTTCCCTGGCCTTCACCTGAGCATAAGTTTTTTTTTTTTTTTTTTTTTTTTTTTTTTTTTTTTTTGTAATAGTGGCAGACAGGAGGTTACTCAGCAGTAGTCCTGTTCCTGTCCCCAGTTCCCTGTTGATTGCACAGAAAATACTGGAATAGCTGAACAGCTTTAGTGAACATTTACATATGGTGCCCTCTTAAGAGCAATCCACATTCAGATTGCTCTTCAGATGGCACTTGACAGGCAGTGAGGAGATGTTATATCACCTCCTCACCACCTGTTAAACCCCCACAGCACCGCCCCCAACTGCATGCATTGCCCATGAATGCGGGAAACCCCTGTTGACTTGAATGGGACACTTTCGTGCCCTACTGGCACCATCCACTGCCCTACTGACACCCCCTCCTTGGGCCATCCAAAGGTGTCGCAGCTTTTACAGGCCTATAGTGTATATGAAAAGAACAAAAATTGCTGTGTGCCACTGAAGTGTTTTAGGTTTGGTTTGAAAAAAAGTTGGCAACCCTAGTCCCATCCCACTGGGACACCCGATCAACCAGCTGGCAGACAGACCGGAACCGTTTTGTCCACCACTTTTATTGGAAACCGGAAGTGATGAGCATATATCACTTCTAGATTCCCCGCATGTAAATAGCGCAATTTTTAAAAATAAAAAGCATTTGATCACACCGATCAGGACAAGTCGATTGGGACCCCGATTTAGTCCCTTGGACAAGTAGTTTTTTTTTTTTGTTTTTTTTTTTTTTAAGTCCACATTCCTGTCACTGGTAATACAGGCACACTTTGTGTTGGAATAGTGTCCTGTATCAAAATAGAAAGCAGGGATAAGCAAACTCACCACGTCAGCGGGTCTGCTTCCATGCTGCCAAATGAAAAATAACTTGCTGGATCACCAGATATGTAACGGAACCAGACCCAGACTACACTAGGATATTTCCGTTAGCCTCCCTCTTCCCTGTCCGAACACAGATCCACGGACACCACCGCTGGCCATACAAGACGAGACGGCACCAGACTTGTATGAAAGACAGGAAATAGACTGCTTTATTTTAACATGGATACCATATATATATATATATATATATATATATATATATACACAGGGCAGGGAAATACACATCCAGACAGGAAAGACATCAGCAGGCCGTCCCATCAGGGGGAAGGGCTGCCGGAAACATTACATGCCATAATAGTTTGCTCCCAAGCAAGACACACAATGGAACAATGGGATGCACCACGTGGCAGTGAACAACGAACAACCCCCACACCAATATTAGAACATTTCACCCTGTACCCCTAACGGGTACTGGGTGACTTACACATAATAGGGAGCTTGGGAGTTGACACAGGGGTCTCCCCACCCCTCAAAAGGGGTCTGTGTTCCATGGGCCTCCCACCCAAAGTCACTCCCATCACAAGATATTTGGGAGGAACTTCAGCATTCAAAAGAGGAAGAGGCTGGATTTACAGTATATAAAATTAAACTGGATGTATACATGAAGGGAATGTGTGGAGTTTTTTTTTGTTTTGTTTTTCATTTTTGTGACCTAATTCTAGCCAGTGAAGTAATTGAGTGTCCATGCAGATTGGGGAATTTTCAGGCTTGTTTGAGAAGCATATTCAGGCAGGAAAACCCATCAGAATCGAGAGACTTCAGATATAAAAAAAAGTTTGACTGTCATAAAGGAGTGTTCACAGCATTTTCAAGTGTACATTGGTTATAGTGAAGAATGAGCAGAGGGTAATACTTTGTTGAAAAAAACCCTCTAAAGAAAATGCCTGTAAATGCTCAAACTTTTTGCAATATGAGCATTTTAATACTGCCTTTTTTGCCTGAGGTTTTGGCATTTTTTTTTCCATCTGCCTAGTGTGCATGGATCCTGAAATATAATAAGTCCAGATCTGTTTTTGACCAGTGACAGTTTTGATCAGTGTGGTAGGTAGGAAAAATTTCAGAACATAAGATTAGCAATGGCCGTGTATATAATTCTTTCAGTACTGGTTTGCTTTAATATTTTTTGTCAAAGGACATCACACAGTCCTAATTAAAATTTTACATTTTTAGTCTTCCAGAATTTTGGAAATCTAACCTATTAATTTTGTCTTGTTTGACTCACTCCTATGTTGAGTTTGCAATACGTGAAATGACTTTGAGGCTTTAATTTGATCGTGCAAAGGCCTGTTATGTGTAAGTTCCCATAGCAGCCAATCAGATTAGTTTATAGCAGTCTAATTAATCAAAGAAAGTATGGTTGGATTCTACAGTTGATTGGATTATCCATATAAAATTCAGGAACTCTTCAGTTATAGAAAGCAGCAGGAGGTTGGCTGTTTTTTACTGCTGTATTCATGTGATTTAATAAAGGAAGACCGTGTTTTGTTGACCTACCCAGGTGCTGACTTTTTCCTCCAGTGGATTGTCTTGTGGAGGCCTAGGGAGCCTTGTAGTCTGAGCATTGAGTCTGGAGCTGTGGATTGAGAAGGTGGTAGCGCTGTTACACCTGTTTTCATAGGAAGGAAGAACTCCTTAGATCTAGACTTGTTCCAGGACAAGTGACTAAGTATGGAAGACAAAGTATCCCCTGATAAGAAAGGAAACTGCCAATCTTTGCCAACCTACTTCAATTCTGTAAAAACAAGATACATTTAAAGTTCATCTGTGCTTTGCCCATTCAAGGATAAAGCAAAAGGTTTCCTTTAATGCAGACCTGCCCAGACCTATATTCTTCCATTGGCTCTCGCACTGCTCTGTACAGCTGGCAGTAGTGAAAGGAAAGCTCTGTGTGAGCTAGAGGTGTAGTTTACATAGGGTAATGGCCTTCACTCTGACAGTATTGATGTTTCAGCAGCACAGTGGCTAAGTGGTTAGCACATCCGCCTGGCAGCACTAGGGTTGTCTGTTCGAATCCCAACCATGGCACTACCTGCACAGAGTTTGCATGTTCTCCCTGTGCCTGCCTGGGTTTCCTCCCACACTGCAAAGACATGTCGGTAGGTTAATTGGTTCCTGCCTAAATTGGCCCTAGTATGTGTACGTATGAATGTCAGTTAGGGGCATTAGATTATACGCTCCTTGAGGGTTAGGGAATAATATGTGCATTATATGTAAAGCGCTGCGTAAATTGACAGCACTATATAAGTACCAAAAAAAAAATAAAATTTTAATACCCAGTAGTACCAGGTATTTACTACTGTCCCAGACACTAAACAAAGCAACAGCATCTTTAGTGTGGGCAGCCGCCTGTGACAGCTTACGGCTTCACAGCCAGGTGCCTGCTGCGCATGCACGAGAAGCGCTGTGCTTTGTGAATGGCCCCGTAGACTTTTGGGAACTGTCATGTCCCAGAAGACTATGGGGAGGAGGCGGGGAAAGACAACTTCCGCTTCCAATCGCAGTGGAAGTGTGAGCGGGTACTTGTCAAATTCGGGTACCCGCTCCCCAAAGGTGCCAATCCTTAATGGGTAGCTGGGGACAGTGCATTAAAGCGGAACTTCCCCTTTTGGGTGGAACTTCTCTTTTAACAAAGAAAACCCCTTCCCATTTCATGCTGTAAGCAATGGCACCAGATGGAAGAGAAATGTCACGAGGCCTGAGAGAAAATTTCTTTACACAAGAAAGGTGAAGGCTACATGAAGATTAGCTAAGCTTTACTTCTCAGTCAGAATACTGTAACAAAAGTGATACAAAGATAGAACTGCAACCATCTCCGAGACATCCAGACCATCCATGGAAGTGAACACCTTAACAGGGGCATCTTCTGTGTTGAAGAAAATTGCCATACAAGTTCACTGCCGTTAGCTAAAGAAGTAGAAAGGCAAACTGGGGTGATTGTTACCCGTGACACAATACGGCGTACCCTGCAGAGGAATGGCATGCATGGGTGTCGTCCATGAAGGAAGGCTCTCCTAAAGTCCATGTACAAAAAATCCCTCCTAGAATTTGCCAGGGCCCATGCTGAAAGACTGCTGAGACTCTTTGCTCTGTAGTGATGAGACCAAGATAAATGTTTTTGGAACTGATGGCTTCAAAACTGTATGGCGTCGCAAAGGTGAGGGGTACAAAGAAATATGTATGGTGCCTTCAGAGAAACGTGGTGGTGGCAGTGTCCTTCTGTGGGGCTGCATGAGTGTTGCTGGTGTTTGGGAGATGCATTTCATTGATGGTATCATGAATTCACAGATCTACTGCTCTATATTGAAAGAGAAGATGCTACCATCACTCTGTGCCCTTGGTAGTCGTGCACTTTTCCAACATGACAACGACCTGACATCTAAGGCCGCTGTTGCATTTCTGAAGAACAGGGTGAAAGGGATTCAGTGGCCAAGTATGTCTCCTGATATGAACCCAATCGAACACCTATGGGGAATTTGGAGACAAGTTGAGCATCACTCTCCATCCAGCATCCAGCCTCTAACAGAGGTCGTTCTTGAAGAATGGAAAATGATAGATGTAGCAATATGTCGCCAACTTGTTTACTACATGCATAGAAATTTGGTGCTGTCCTTACAAATCATGGAGGTCGTACAAAATACTAGATGTAGCAGTTTGTGTTGCGGGGTGTATTCATTTTTGCATCAACTAAGTTGAGTAAAACTGAAGATTTTGTAATCCTATTATTAACCTTACTTTTATGTAATGAGCTAAACAAATGTTCTATAAAACTCAGTTTTGTCAACATTTTGGAAATTGTTCTTGTTTTCATTCAGATATTGATTAAAATCTTACTTTTAAAAAGGGGTGTACTTATTTATGCTGAGCACTGTAAGTGTGTACTGCGTGAGGGGTTTGGGGGTTAAAGTGTTACTAAACCCAGGACCCTGCATTCACTATATCTGGTCTCCCACAGTACACACAACATGGAAATGCAATTATTTTAGTAAATATAAACTTCTAAATACCTTTTCTCATCAGCAGTCTTGTGTCCAGCAAACCACATATTAAAGCTTGTTAGAGGAGTTTTCATTTTGCTCTGAGGATGCAGGACCCATGACCTCTGTCTGGACAGTGCTGATTGCATGTGATCAGCACAGGGCCATTCTCCCAAGAACAAAACAAACCCTCTCTAGCAATACACACCAAGCTGAGCATGTGCAGAGTGTCTTCAAACCTTATGTCTTATCAGGAGATAATAGGGGGACACTGAAAGAAGGGGAGGATCAAAGAATTCAGGATCAATGCAGAGGATTAACCCCTTAGGTTCCACAATGAGTATAACAAGCGTGCTTTACTGCATATACAGACTGATTTCACTGTTTCGCGTTTAGTAACACTTTAATGTGTATCTGCTGCTTTACCTTGATTGTGCAGGTTTTCTTTTTGGTGCCAGGGGACATACGTGTGTGTAGACAAAATATTCTTAACCATCAGTGCTAGCAATAAAGTGGTTCTAAAGGCAGAAGGTTTTTTTTTTTTTTTTTTTTATCCTTTCTATGCATGTGCAAAACCATACCAAGTGTAACATGTTTGGTATTTAAAAACAAAAAAGAGAAAAAAAAAAACAATTTCCAACCTTTTTTGGAGTCTTTTTAATATCTTCGTTTTATTGCCTGGATCCTGTACAGGTCTGTTATTTGTTCATTCCTACAACAAGAGTTGCTGTAGATCAATGGGTTAGACAGGACAGAGGGCAGTGATGGTTTTTATAATATGAGTCCACAATTACCAAACAGATGTAATTTCTCGTTCGCTTGGAGAGGTCAGAACAATTAAATAATTCATATGGTTTTCAATGGCTTTTTTAACCATTTTAGTTTCTAATCTATAATATAAGAATACATGTACATTTTCCCCTTGGATAGTACTTGTGGGAGTTCATAAAGCAGCTGTCATTAACCGTGTACTTTGCTGCTTTTAGCACACAACTCAATGGAAATTTTGTAAATCAAATACAAAAGATGTTAATAAATCGGCGCTAGTTTCTAGCAGCTGTTGCCGGCCTTTGTCTGGGGTCTTTGTGTTGCTCTTATTTACGGCTAGTTTACCGACATGTCACTTAATAATGATCACCCCCCCCCACCCTCAAACAAAAATCAAGTGCTTGTTTCCTGCTACCACCCTGTTCCAAATTTTCTAGAAGAATTATGGGTTATGTGATATTTCTTGGCGTGCACTCACTTCGTGTTATTCAGTAGGTGCCTCTCTGCGTGTTCAAACAAGAGGCTTACCCATTCCTTTATACAGGGATGTCTCTGCGTGGCACCATGTCCTGAACCTGAGCAGAGTTTTATTTTTATCTTTTCATTTATACTGGCTGGTTCTTTTATTAATCTGACTTTAGAAGCGGAAATTTTACATAAAGTGCTGTAGTTTACACAAATTTAAAGCTAGAAGTGGGTTTAACCACTTCAAGTCCCTTTACCCCCTTCCTGTCCAGGCTGAATTTCAGCTTACAGTGCTATCACACTTTGACAATTGCATGGTCATGCAACACTGTACCCATGTGAATTTGTTTAGCATTTTTGTGAGACCGATAAAACTTTAATTTGGTGGTATTTATTCACCACTGGGTGTTTTTTTTTTTTTTTTTTTTTTTTCTTTTTTCTTTTTTCCTATATAAATGAAAGTCCAAAAAAGTTTGAGAACATTTTGTTCTTATACAATTTTGCAAATAATTCTTCATAAATCTTGGCCAAAATTTATTCAGTTATCTTTTTAGTAAAAAAAAAAAAAAAAAAAACCCAAATTAGTTTTTAACCAAAAAATTGATTTTTCTAAAAAAAATTTTTTTTTACATTTTTATTTTCTATTTGTGGTTTTTTTTTTTTTTTTTATATATATTACATACTGTCACCCTAACAATAAATCCTAAAAGGCTGTAAAAGCAGTCATTTCTCCTTCTCTCTGGCTGCATTCTTGCCATTGAGAAATACTGTGTGAGCTGTGATTGGTCACAGCTTGTCACATGGTACAAGGCTGTTGTGAATAGCCTTGTACCATGTGATCTCTTTGCTAATTCACAGATTTCACATGTAGTAAGCAATGATGTCAGTAGTGACATCTTACTTACTACTATTCATGTGATCACTAATTGGCCCATCAGGGATCACATGATCGGGACCTCACACAGAGGGTCCCGTACAGCGATCGGTGTTCCGTTGTGTCCGGAGGGCACAGCAGGCACCGGATTGCGGTGCTGCGCGCTCCCAGGAAGCGCGCACAAGCAGGGAAGTGGGGAGGATGTTCATAAACGGCCACCCGTCCCTACATTGCTCCTGTCCGGACAGTTTTTTATATACATGGGCCAGACGGGAAGTCGTTAAGTATAACTAAAACCTTTTTCTCTTTTTTTTTTTTTTTTTTTAAACTTTTGGACAGTGGAGATGGATTAGAACACCTACTAGGTTGTGTGGTTTTTTTTTTTTTTTTTGGTTTTTTTTTTTTTTTTTTTTGTTTGTTTTTTTGCTGTCCGTGCCCCCTTCAGGGAGATTCACCCTCTCTAATTTGTCCTTTTATTACCATTATTGAAAGTAAAAGCTCCAATTTTGAAAAGTAATAGAGGTGAAATTTTCTGATGGGGACACTAGTTCTGGTGACCTGGGGGCCCCCAAGGAATTCTGTTAATTTGCAAGGATTCTATCTCCTTTTCTGTTTTGGCTAATACAGGAAGTGAAGGTAATTTTCCCTAATGGGACACAGATGGCAAAAAATAAACTGACAGTGGTTATAACCCTCCCTTACTTTATCCAAAAAAAAAAAAAAAAAAAAAGATTTGCCTATAGTTCTACTTTTAAAACACTTTTGGTTGCAGGGGCCTGTAAAGCAGGGGTGCCAAACTGTCGGCCTTCCAGCTGTTGCAAAACTACTAGTCCCATCATGCCTCTGCCTTTGGGAGTCTTTCTTGTACCTGTCAATCTTGCAATGCCACATGGAACTTGTAGTTTGGCTACAGCTGGAGGGCCGCCAGCTTGACACCCGTGCTGTAAAACATTGCACCAGTCATCAGCAGATTGCTGGTGCCATGCAAGTCTCTTGCAGACCTGTTAGTATATCTGCTTGTCCAAACAGATATCCTGACAGGAAGAATCCATGAACTACCATGGCGCTCCACAGTGCCATGGTAGTTCATTGAGAACTACAAGCAGACAGCCGCTAAGGCTGTTTGGACTTGTAGTTCATTCATTCACAGAACTTTGTGAATGAATGATGCGGCCTTGTGGGCGTAGCCACACACAGCTGTGCTGTTTAAAAATTGACAGCTAGTATGGGGAACTTCTCCCCGTACTCCTGTCACAGGGAGGGCAGAGATCGAGCTGCTGCGTTGGGAACATGTTGCATGGTCCACCCTAAAAATGGGTGTAACATGTTCCCAAAGGTGAACTTTAACAGTGTTCTAAGACAAGTTCTTGTGATGTACCAGCCCTTAAATGTGCTATGTGCAACTTCCTTTGAATGTCCAATAGCGTGCACCAAAAAAAAAAAAAAAAATTACTAAAGTTGTATAAATACTGTACTGAGGAGGGGTGGATGGTGAATATTTGCGCTGCTTAAAGCGGAGCTCCACCCAAAAAGGGGAAGTTCCTCTTTAAGGACTGCTTCCCCACTCTCCATTAAGGATTGGCACCTTTGGGGGGGGCGGGGGGGAGCGGGTACCCGAATTTAACAGGTACCCGCACAAATTTTTGGTCTGATCACCTAGGCGATTGGAAACGGAAGGTGTACTCCCTCCCTCCCTATAGACTTTTGGGACACGTGACTGGTCCCAGAAGACTACAGGACCATTTATGAAGCACAGCGCTGTTCGCGCATGCACAGTGGGTACCCGGCTGTGAAGCCGCAAGCTATCACAGCCGGTTGCCCACACTGAAGATGCCATCCTCCTGGAATACAGGACAACCGCTGCAACGGGCTGCGGGGGACACACAACGGGACCGAGGGACAGGTAAGTGTCTGTTTTTTAAAAGTCAGCAGCTACAGTTTTTTGTAGCTGCTGACTTTTATTTTTTGACAGGTGAGTGGAACTCCTCTTTAAAGGAGAGGGGGATGTGTAAGGTTGGATGTTGAGGTGCAGGAAAGGGAGAAGGAGATAATTTAACCTTATCAAAGTACAAGAATAAACACACTTGAATTTTGGCTCGCCACCATGTGACGGTTAAACTGGCTATACGTTTATTTTTTTTTTTTTCGTTCAACCAGAAAATAACCCAGTCTTTAACATCCACACGCTCAAAGTGGGTGAGGGGTTATCATTCCCACTGCTGTTGTATTCT